CCTGGGCCAGCCGCCATCTTGGGAAGGCCCTTCCTATTCCTGGGAGTGGCTTCCTCACCCCGCTCCCCACAAACATTGGATTGTAACAATGGACAAAAATGTTAGCTGTGTAAGAAAGGGATGAGAACCTAGAGGAATGAGAACTTATAGACTTTAAAGGACATTAGAAATAATTGGAGATCCCAAAAGAGAGAGTTGAAAATTGATCAGCATTTCATGTATGAAATGACATGGCCTGGGATGTGTGAAGTGCTGATCATATCTGAGACTGAGACTTGGAAAATGCACCAGTTGGTAGGATGTTGAAGCCTATATATTGGCTGGAAAAGTTGCAAAAACTTAAACACAAGATGTTAGACAGCAATGTGTCAATATATTTAAAGGCCTGGGAATCTATTGGATTTCCCAGTGGATATTGAAATTGTAAATTTCTTCAGCAGTTCTGATAACTCCAATGTTGAAGTTCTCAGTGAATAGGAAATGGTCAGTGCAATGAGAGAGGAAAGGAAAGAAAAGATTGGTTGGTTTATGTTTAACTATTAATACCATGGGAAGTTTATTTTTACATGTGAAATGAAATGCAAAGCTACTTTTAAAATCCAAGCATTTATGTAACAGCATTGCCAGACTAGTTTATCCTTTATTGCTTTGAAATAACATCAATTTTACATATTAAAGAATCTTGCAAGGAATATTTTACAAGGGGGTGTGCTCCTCGCAGCGTGGGCCAAGCCACCACCATCCCATAAGGGTATTGGTTCAAGTCCTAGCGGCCCCACTTCTGATCCAGGTCTCTGCTGATTGCCTGGGAAAAGCAATGGAAGATGAGCCAAGTGTTTGGATCCCTGCCTCTTGCATAGGAGACCCAGGTGAAGCTCCTGACTTCTGCCTGGCTCAGCCCTGACCATAGTGGCCATCTCATTAGTGAACTAGCTGATTAAAAAAAAAAAACTGTCACTGTGACTTTCAAAGAAATAGATCTTCTGTTATAAAAAGCTCAGGGAAAATGCTTATATGAAAAAAGCATGTGTTTCCAATAATTTTTGCACTAAAAGTAAACTAACCATTTCATTCCATGTTTTTTACAAACTTTTTGAGGTACTCTCAAATGTGAGTTTGTGTAGATGATTTCTGTTGATAAGTATTCTTATTTGATACACTACTCTTATTTGTATTTTAATATTGAAATGACTTATTGACCATTATTTTAATGGGAAGTACAATCCCTTTTCATAGATCTTTTCAAAGCACAGTTGGCTCTTCTGGAGTTTTATTCCCTGAGAAAAATTTCAGAACCAATTGATAATGTTCTGCAGCCTGTCTAGCTGGGAAGCCTTCCCGGGGCACCCTAACCTCCCCATCTAAGCAGTTCTGGCTGTCTTAGGCTGATGTGGCTCACTTCTGAAGCTGGACCTCTCCTGTGTTGGAATTGTTGTGGGCATATTGTGTGCTCTTCTTTCTTGCTGTCCTTCACTCATGAAGAATGCACAGATCTGCATATATTTTAGAAATATCCTTCATATCTGAAAGTCTACTCTCACAACTACCAAAAATGTGGCAAGCATAGAGGTTTACTATGAAAATTAGTCTACTTCTCTTTTTCCATTTTCAGTATTGCTAATGAGAAGCCTGCAGCCATTCAGGTTCTTGATCCTTTCTTTTGTATCACTTGCTTTTCATTCTTTGAAATTACCAAGTTCTTTTCTTTCATCTGTTGGTTCTGACATGTCTGGATTGTTTGGTTTAGTGTGGGTGTAGTGTTTAGTCACTTTTCTAAGTCCTTCAGGACTATTTGAGATGGAAATTGATTCCAAATCTCTTAAGTTTGATTCTAATGTTTCTTTGATTATTGTTGTCCATCTTTGAACCTTTTAAAGTTCCTGTTTTTGGATTTTAGGTCCAAGAATAAGTCTTCCTTCTGGAGTCTTCTTGGGCTTTCTTGTGTTTTGCATATCTACCACCTATGAAATTTTTTCAGATTGTTCTTTCCTTGTAGTGATTTTTAAATTTCTTCCATTTGTTCCATTAAATAAAAGTGTAGATAGGTTTTCTAATGTAACCTGTCTTAGAATTTCTGACATAATATCTTCTTGGTCCTGACACACTGATTTTCCATCTGCTACTGGGTGGTATTTACCAATAGTTTACTGTAAGGTCTTTATCATATGTGTCTATGAGCAACTTTGAGCCCTGATTTTGATTTCTTATTTTGTATTTGGTTTTGATGGAATGAATACACCAGCATCCAGAAGAGATTGGGAGTTGTGTGTGTCTGCTTTTCATGATGGCACTGCAAAGCCTCAAGGGAAACTTCTAGGTCTGTTTCAGCTTGCAGTTTGGATGTTACAGTTCTGGGCCAGGAAGGCCCTAGTCTGATGTGTCCTGGAGGCTTCTCAGCGTGGGTGGGGGGGAATGATCCCATGGTGTTCTAGGAAGCAGGGGAACAGCTAGATGGGACCTAACTCAGCCATTGCTCGAGAACACCTTCGAGGGCTTGTCCAGAGTGAGCTAAGGGCTTCCCACTGTCCCCACCTTTCAGCCACCACAGTTAGATCAGGTCTCCACTCTTTCTTTTCTTTCTGTTTTTTTTTTTCTTTTTGAGATTTATTTATTTGAACTTGAAAGTCAATTACAGAAAAAGAGAAAGATTTTCCATCAACTAATTGTCTCATTCAACATGACACAACAAGAAATGCTGCCCTGGTCTGAGACCAAAGCCAAGTACCAGAAACTTCTTCATGGTCTCCCACGTGGGAGGTTCTGCCTACATCCTGTATCAGAATGCCTGGATTTTAAGTCCGTGATCCACTCCCAGGTCCAGCTTCTTGCTAATGAACACGCAGGGAGATAATGCTGATGACTCAAGTAGCTGGATCCCCACCAGCCTCTTGGGAGAGACCCAGATGGAATTCCTGGCACTTGGCCTTAACCTGGCCCACCACTTGGTTGTTGCAGATATTTGGAGGGTGAATCAGTGTATGGGAAAACTCTCCCTGTCTCCCTCTCTGTTTCTCTCTCTCTGCCTTTCAAAAGAATTGAGATAGGGTCCCGTTTTTCAGAATCTGCTTTTTGCTTCCTGGCCTAATGCAAGCACATGGCTTAGGCTCTGCTGTTTGAAAAGCCACATAGTGTGATGATCAAAGAGGGTGGTTGGAGGTGGGAGCGTTGGGAGTCAGGAAGCTGGAGAGAAGGTGGCCTGAATTCCAGTTCTGTCACTGTATGAATCAACTGGGGTAAGCCTGGCTTCACACCTGTAGAACACTGGTGACGGTAATGGTTCTCATTTCATGGAAGGGCCAAGAGAAGAGACAGTGTAGCACCATGGAAGGCACACTTAAAAGAGTGTGCAGTATCAATTAAGCACTCACAATATTTCTAAATGTGTTGCAACAAATTGTGATGTTTTCTTTTCACTTTATTATTGGGTTGTCTGTCTCCTGATTAGTCCAACTAAAGGCTTGTCAGTTATGCTTCTATTTTCCAAGAATCAACTCTGACTTTCGTTGAGCTTTTTTCCTATCGTCTCATTTATTTTTCTGTCGTTTTATTCCCTTCCTCCTGCTGACTTCAGGGTTGGTTTTTCTTTTTCTGGTTCCTTGAGTTGTAAGTTGGATTGTTCACTGAGTTTCTCTCTTTTTGTTCAATCCCAGTGTCTATAGCTAAAATCTCTTCTCTTAGGATTGCTTTTTTTTTTTTTACCAAAGTTTTGGTATGTCATATTTCTATATCCATTGGTGTCAAAAATGTTAAAAGTCTTCCATTCTTGTTTTTTTCTTTCACTTGCTGTTTGTTCAGTAATATGTTAACTTTCATGTGTTTGTGAATTTTTTCAGTTTTCCTCTCATTACTGATTTCTAGTTCATATCATTATGGTTAGAAAAGATACTTGGTATAATTTCGGTCTTTCTATTTGTTGAGACTTGTTTTGTGGTCTTGGTGATCTATTTTCTTTCAACACACACGCCCAGGCTCTCTTTGGGAACCATTTACATAGACTGTGATTTTTCTTTCTTTCATTTTCAGTTGTGTGTCTGTGAAGTCAGCATGAGTGTCTTGTAGGGAGCAAGCAATTAGATCATGTTGGACTTACTATACTTTTTTCTGCCTTTTGATTGGAGAATTTGATCTATTTGCATTCAAAGTAATTATTGATAAGTAAAAATTTACTATTGCCATTTTGTTAGTTACTTTCTGGCTCTTGCATAGTTTCTTTGTTTCTGTATTTTTTCTTGTTAAGTTCATTTATAATTTAATGTTTTTTGGTAAAGATAATACTTTTTTGCATTTCGTGCATATACTGATTTTTTGTAGTTATCACAAGGCTTGAAAATTATCTAGAGTTGTATGTAATTGAAATTCAGTTATTATCAACTAAAATAGAAGAGCACCAATTTGTGTTAACACAAAACAAAACCAGTTGTCTCGGGTAATATGGTTGCCATTCTTGTTACCCTCTCAGCTTACAATTGTTATTATTACACCATGTGCTATCACTCATAACTAAGTTTTTGAGGTAGAATGGCATTTCTCACTTAATTGTGTGGTTTGATGACTGTGATCAAAAATAGGGCATTTTGCTTTTGTCTTTTTGTGATCTGTTTTCTCTTAATTGCTCATTAAGATAAATTTTCAAGGACAGATCCTGTTTTTCTTTCATTATTTTATACTCCTGTCTGAATGCCCTTCTTATTCCACCTTAATTTTATAGGAGTTAAGGTTTTTCAATTGAAATACATTCTACATAAGCTTAGGTGGGAAGTACCTATAATCGCTGTGATGCAGGATGGGCTGGGCAGTTCGCAGTTACTTCTTCTGTGACCTGTGCGCTTCCTCCCATTTCATCTCTATTGCTTTAGCTCCGTTCATTCTGGCATCTACCTAGGATGCTTGCTTTGAATGTGCTGGTGCGTGGTGGCCTTTCCTTCCCGAGTGTGACCTTAGGACCTCCCACGGGCCCTGTAATCCTAATGACCATTTTCATGGGGTGTGCTTTCCCACAGAGATGTCCACAGAAGACGAAGAAGAAAAGCTCATCTATGAGGCAGTGTTAAATCATTTCAAGAGCTGCAGAGTGGAGATCTCACATGCAATAACGCACACATTTCCTTTCCTGCATGGCCTCCGTGACCGTGGACTCATCACGGATAGAATGTTTCAGGTAAGTGAAGTCCACTGTGTCACAACCTGGTGTACTAGCAGCCACTTAATTTATGCTCTGATATTCCAGATTCAATTTCAAGTTACAACCAGTGACAGACAGGTGTTTCTGTAAGTGCTTCTGTATCACTCATGCCCTGCTTCTCCCTGATGCGATGGTGTTATGTGACGCCCTCTGGAGGTGGGCGGATGCACTGGTGATAAGCCAGAGTTGACACAATTGCACTCTTAGATGGGTGCTGTCTTGTATATGTCATACCATGTAGTTCAAACAATCATTCATTGTAACATAAACTAAATGTTGTAAATAGTTTTAGTGAATTAATGGTTTTACTGGTTTACTGAAACAGTTACTGGCACAGCACTTTATTTCAATTAATGTTGATTCAAAATATCTAAGTCCAAAAGCCTTAAAACTCATTGGGATGAATTTAGAAGTAGAGGCTTGCTTGGTTTTTCTTTCATTTGTGTGTGTGTGTGTGTGTGTGTGTGTGTGTGGCACTTGTGTAGTCTTAAGAGTTTGAGTAGGGCCCAGCATGATAGTGCAGTGGCTAAATCCTCACCTTGCATGGGCCGGGATCCCATACTGGGCACCAGTTTGTGTCCTGGCTGCTCCACCTCCCATCCAGCTCCCTGCTTGTGGCCTGGGGAAGCAGTGGAGGACGGCCCAAAGCCTTGGAACCCGGTACACGTGTGGGAGACCTGGAAGAAGCTCCTGACTTTTGGATTTGGATTGGCTTAACTCTGGTCATGGTGGCCACTTGGGAAGTGAACCAGCAAGTGGAAGATCGTTCTCTCTCTGTGTGTCTCTATCTCTGCACCAAAAATTGCTTTAATAATAATAAGTAAATCTTAAAAAAAAAGAATGAAACTGACTTCTGGAGCTTGTTGTAGCTTAATATTCTGTGTTTTTCTATTTTATATTTTTTAAGGATGCAGAAAATTCTTGGAGAAACATGATGCGTGTTGAACATGTGGTGTATGATGTTCTTGAGAAACTGGAGAAGTTTGACGAGACTGTTTTCGAGGCAGTGTTCAGCGAGGTCAACCTGCAGGAATACCCCAAATTAGTTCCTGTTCGTAAAAGCTTTGAAATTGGTAATTATGTTAATTGTCTACCTTTAGGAGTTTAGGGTAAAATATTTTCAGCAAGCATGTACTGAGTTTCTAACACAAACCACAGACTGTGCTGGACAGTGGAGATAAAGTACTTGTCAAGACAGACGCGGCATGAACCTTCTTGGAGCTTCTGGCATGATAGCAGGGGTACAGCCGCCACTCAGAGATCTGCTGAGCCAGGCGTTTAGAATAACAAGATGACCAGCATGACACGGGCACCACGGTTACTTAGGAGGACACAGGACAAGTCACAGAAAATCCCAATGAGCAGAACCAGTGGCTTCTGTTCCACTGGAGCCCTTGTGCTGGTCTACACTGCAGCCCACCCCATTGACTGCAGCCTGATTTGAGCGATAGACAGTCTAACTAACTGTGGGTGCGGGACCCAGCTTGGCTTGGTACTCTGTGCTCATGGGGTCGGTCTCTTGTAAAAACCTCCCCAGCCAGTTTCAGGGACACCCAATGGGGGCAAGGCCAATTGTAAGAGTCACCACACTGAAGGGAGATCTCCTCACCCCTTACTCTGCTTTCTAAACAATAAAAGAATCTTTTTTAAAAAGAGGTACCAGAAAAAAAACCCCACATGATTCTCTTTTATTGAATATGTTGCTATCTGCTTTCTCTCTCTCAGCACTCTTTTTTTTTTTTTTATTGTTGTTTACATTGTATTATGTGATACAGTTTTATAGGCACTGGGGATTCCCCCCTCCCCTGCCAAACCCCTCCCCCCATGGTGGATTCCTCCACCTTGTTGCATAACCACAGTTCAAGGTCAGTTGAGATTCGTTCCTTGCAAACACATACCTAGTCTCTCAGCACTCTTTAGGTAACACAGCCCACAGTGCTTCCACTTCTGTTTTCTCCAGCCTTGCTTGTCTTTTTCTGTCTGGAAAACATAAAACCTCCCTTGCTGACATGCCATCTCCCATGGACTGATGGGGAACGTTCAGTTCTGTGGGATGCACTGATCCGGAAACTGGAGAATCCTAAGCAGGTGGTTTTGTGACTTCCATGGTTCCTGCGAAGATCTCTAACCGCCTTCTCATCTCTGTCTTCAGAAGTCAACCGCAAGCTTCAATTCCAGAACAATGTCAGAGGCCACATAGAGGAGAATTCCAGGATTCAGCTGCCACTGGAACAAGGTAACAAGCATTTCTCACTTGTAGAGGGAACGGAGCCAGCTGGGTTCTGGACAGAGAGGATAAGCCAGGGATGGAACGTGGGAGGACATGGAGAAGGTCAGGGACACAAGGGAGGACATTGAGAAGGCAGCCGAGGTCAAAGTGGAGGAAGCCAGACTTGCACAGCTGAAACACCTGGAAACAGTAGTGCTAGAGAACCTTCCAGACAGGAGAGCTAGGGGTGGAGCCCTGAAGGGCTCAGAAGCATGGCCCGTGGCCAGCGTTAAAGAGGAGCCCAGATGAAAAGTTTCCACTATCTGGTCTTTGTCCTCTAACACACAGCATCTGAATATGTTAAACTGGTAACACGTGTGATCCATATCCTTGATAACTATCTGTGTGTGCAGGTGCCAGGAACAGGGAGGGATGAATGGAGGAGGAGAAAGGGTTCAAGGCTGCAGGGTGTGGCAGGGCTCCCTGAGGGATCCCCAGGCACGTCGGGAGTGGAGAGCAAAGGGAGACAAGGAGAACCCTGCAGCTCACAGCCCACTGACACAGAATAAAACGGATGATTTGATGTACCGAGCATATATACTTTTTGTGGTAAGAACACTTAAAATCCGTTTTCAGTAATTTTTAAGAAAACGAGATGCTGTTGTGAAGCACAGATGAGCTCTGTGATGGTCCTCTTGTACCTGGCTTGTTTCCCTCAGTGTTGTGTCCTCCGGGTCATGTGGGTTGATTCAGGTGATAGGAGCTTCTTCCTTTTGAGGCTGAGTCGTATTCCTTTGTGTAGATGTCATCTTTGCGCATTCCTCTGTCGCCGGGCACTTGGGCTGACTTCACGCCTCGACTTCTGTGTCTAATACTGCTCTGAACGGGGGAGTGCAGGCACCTCCGTGACATATTGACTGCATATACTTGGGATAAATATCCAGGAGTGTGACTGCTCTGTCTTACGTAGTTGATGTGTGATTTTCAAGGAATCCCCATTTTGTTTTCCATGATGGCTGTACTATTTATAACCCAGCCAGCAGTAGCACCGGGGTTCCCGTTTTTAGACATCACCACCGGCATCTGTCCTCTCATGTCTTTCTGCTAAACACCAATGCAGCCAGCGTGAAGTGACATCTTCTCATGATTTTACGTTATGTTTCCCGGGTGGTTAGTGGTGCTGTGCATTTCCCATTTACACGTTGGTCACTTGTATAGGTCCTTTTGTGCAGGACTTTTTTGATAATAAAATACCCATTATTAATTTATTATTGAGTTGCTTAAGTTAGTTCCATCATTTGGGTCTCAGTCATTTAGCAGATAGATTTGCACATGTCTTCTGCCATAGTGTAGGTTGTCTCTTACCTGTGGGTTATTTTCTTGACTCTACAGAGCTTTTGGCTTTAGATAATCTTTGTTGTTGATTTTTGCTTGTATTGATCATACTTTATGTGTCACATTGAAAATCATTGCCAAGACCCATGATATGTAGCTCTTCCCCATGTTTTCTTCTACAGTTTTAGGTCTTAGATTGAAGCCTTTAATTCATTCTTGATGGATTTTTTCAGGTGATTTTGATGAAGGTCTAATGTCACTCTCTGGTCTCGTGTTATCCAGTTGTCCCAGTACTGCTTATTGACAAATGGTCCTTTCCGCATTGTGTGTTCTTGGCACTTTTTCTGAATAACAGTTGACCATGCAAGAGTTTATTTCTAGACGCGCTGTTGTGCTTCATCTATTTAGGTGTCTGTGTTTATGACAGTAGCGTACTGTTTGGCTTACTGTAGTTTTATAGTGTACATGTGTATTTTAAAGATTTATTTATTGTTGATGAAAGAACTACAGAGAGCAGTAAAACACACACATTACACACACACACACACACACACACAGGTATCTTCCATCTTCTGGTTCATTCCCCTGATGGCCACCCTGACCATAGCTGGGCCTTCCAAAGCCAGGAGCTGGTAGCTTCTTTCAGGTCTCCATGTCAGTTCAGAGAGCCAAGATCTTGAACATCCATTGGTGCTTTCCCAGGCCATTAGCAGGAAGCTGGATAGAACTGGAGCAGCTGGGACACAAACTGGTGCCCATATAGGATGCAGGTTTCACAGGTGGAGGATTAATATATTACTCCACTGCACTGTCCCAGTATTTCTTTGCTGTCAGATACTGTGACGCCTTCAGCTTTGTTCTTTGTCATCAAGTTTGCCTCAGCTAGTCAGTCTGTTGTGTTTCATAAAAATTGTAGACTTAGTTTTGTTTTGCTATATCTGTAAAAAAAAGTCATTGGAATTGTGAAAAAAAATTATATTAACTCTATAGAGAACTTCAGTACTACACACAGTCCACAATATAAATTTTTTGAATTCATGAACATGAAAAATCTTTCCATTTATGTTGTCATCTTTTTTTTCGAGATGTATTTATTTTTATCGGAACTGCAGATATACAGTGAGGAGGAGATATAAAGAGGAAGATCTTTATCTGCTGGTTCACTCCCCAAGTGGCTGCAATGGCCATAGTGGAGCTGACCTGAAGCCAGGAGCCAGGAACTTCCTCTGGGTCTCCCATGTGGAAGCAGAATGCCAAAGCTCTGGGCCATCCTTGACTGCTTTCCCAAGCCACAAGCAGGGAGCTGGATGGGAAGTAGGGCTGCTGGGATACACACTGGTGCCAATATTGGATCCCAGCAGGCGTAAGTCAAGGACTTCATCCACTAGGCCATCAAGAGCGGGACTATCTTGTCATCTTTAATTTTTTTTAATCAAAGTTTTAGGATTTTTAGTGTACACATGTTTTACTCTAAATTTATTTCTCTGTATTTTGTTCTTTATCAGTTCCAATGTAAATGGGATTTTTTTCCAGAGTGGCCATGGTTACAAATGGAAAAGCAACATTTATAGAAACACCGCTGACTTTTTTTTCCTTCTTTTAAAATTACTGTTATCGTGCCCGGTGTAGTGGTGCAGTGGTCAAGGTCCTCGCCTTGCAAGCCCAGGATCCCATATATGCGCTGGTTCTATCCCGGGAGCTCCGCTTCCCTTCCAGCTCCCTGCCTGTGGCCCGGGAAAGCAGTCGAGGATGGCCCAAACTTTGGGACTCTGAGGCCCAGAGGAGGCTCCTGGCTTCGGATTGGCATGGCATCGACCGTTGCGCTCACTTGGGGAGTGAATCATCGGACGGAAGATCTTCCTCTTTGTCTCTCCTCTCTGTATATCCGCCTTTCCAACAAAAAAATGATAAAAGTAAATCTTTAAAAAATAATAATAAAATAAAATTACTGTTATCATTTTATGATACAGTTCCATAGGCTCTGGGATTTCCCTCCCACCCTTGTCAAGTCCCCTCCTCCTCTCCCAAGTTTACCTATATCATTACTATAAGTTCTTCATAAGGAGTCATATGTCCATCATTGTGGGCATGGTAATGGCAGAGGGGCTAGCATTGTATTGTCAAGATGTAATTAACAGTTTCATTGGGAGTTCATCTTTGGTCTGGAAGTAGAGATACATACTGCATTGTATCCTCACATCTGGATATGACAGACTCCATTTCACAGTTACTGTACATCTCCTTAAGTGAAAAGCCACAATACAAAATCAACAGCAAAAAAAAGAAAAATAGAGATTTACAATGCCATGAAGTTCAATAACATGATACCAGATATGAATATGAAAGTCTCCATTACAAAGTTACTGTACATTCCCTTAATTGAAAAGCCATAAAACAAAATGAACAACAGGAAACAAAGAAATTTAAAATGCCATGAAATTAAATAACATGTAAAATAAAATCAAGAACCTTCTTGAAGAAAATGATGCTCCTGTATGATCTACGAGTCAGTTAAGAATTTAATGGGAAGAAGGTGGTTTGAATGGATAAATTAAAGATATATATATAAAATCCATGAGATATGGTTTCTGCTGATCTTTGTTGGTGAGATATTTCTCCTGTAGGCAACAAATAGATGGGTTTTGCATTTTTAATGCATTTTGGGTAAGTATGACATTTGACTGAAGAGTTAATCCATTAACATTCAGGATTAATATATACGGGTGGTAATTTGATCCTGTCATTTTAGCAATGGGTTGTTCGTTGATTTAGTCTTGTGTTGTTATTTCACTGGGATGTTCTTCACATTTGCCTTTGGTTTTGGTAGGCGCTATTCCTCTTCTCTGTCAAGAGAACATCTTGAAGTATCATGTGTTGGTCGGGTCTGAAAGAGGCATATTCTATAAATTTTTTTTTGCTTTACTGTGGAAGAATTTTATTTTATTTTCAAAGACAAAGGAAAGCTTTACTGGGTATGTAATCCTGGGCCGACAGTGTTTTGCTTTGAGATTCTGGAATATGTTGTCCCGTTTTCTTCTGGCCTATGGAGTTTTTGTGAGAGATTTCCTGTGAATTTAACTGGCATTCCTTCATATGTCAGTTGATTTTTGTTTCACATGCACATTTCAGGATCTTTTTCTTATGTTTGACTGGAGAGAGCTTGATTATCATGTGTCGTGGTGGAGATACTTTTGGTCAATCCTGTTGGGTTTCTGGATGTTGTTTGCCAATTCTTTCTCTAGATTAGGGAAATTTTCCCTTATTATTTCATTAAATACATTTTTGAACCCAGCTTCTCTTTCTGCACCTTCTAGCACTCCCATAACTCTTACATTTGGCCTTTTAATAGTTTCTCTTAATTCTTAAATACTTTTTTGAGCTTGACCCAGCTCTGCTTCCAGCTTTTTGTCTGTTTTCCGCTGGTGAAAGGAAATATCTTCCAATACTGAGATTCTTTCTTCTGCCTCCTTCATTCTACTTTGGAGACTCTCCATTATACTTTAATTTTTGCTTGACTGTATTATTAATTTCTGATATATCAACTTCCATTTGATTCATTTTCTGTGTGACATAGTCCTTAAATTCCTTGAATGCCTGCTTCATATGCTTCTTGTTGATAAGAAGCTTTAAAACAAGTGTTTTGAATCTGTATCCTCCACTTTCTCGATGTTCCTCAGTTAACTCTGAGGCTTTGATTCTTTGTAGGGAAACTTCAGTAATATTCATTGTGCCTTTGTTTCTTCTTTTGCTCTTGGTCATTGTGCTTCTGATGATCAGACTCTTCTCCTTGGGCCAGGTTTCTAAGCTGTGTCACCCACAACTCTATAATTCGATTTTTCTTATTTGCTAAAGTTACTTGTGCCACTCCCTCCAGTGAGTTCCAGTTCTGGGATCTTATGTTAGACTTCCACTGTGGTCTCCATAGCTCCAGTTCCCGGCTTACCAGTCTCCAGCTCCTGTGATACCGTACTGAGGCTGCACCATTGTCCGTACAAATTTTTCTCCCGCTTGTAGGGGTTTGAGCAGTTCCCAGGATTACAGAGACACAAGGAGTCCTATATACCTAGGTTGTTGGTGGTGCTGCTCTTGCTGGAACCTGTTGGCCATTAGGTCTGAGGGCCACACGGACCTATTTTGACCTGTATGATGCCAAAGTTGATATTATTTTCCCTGTGGGACAATTGCTCAGTGAGTACGCTCAAGCTCAGTACAGACACAACTCACCGTGTTCCTTTACTCCTTTTTTTGTTGTTAAAGATTTATTCATTTATTGGAAAGTCAGATATACAGAGAGCAGGAGAGACAGAGGAAGATCTTCCATCCGATGACTCACTTACCAGATGACCGCAATGCCTGATGCTGCCAATCTGAAGCCAGGAGCCAGGAACTTCCTCCAGGTCTCCCACGCGGGTGCAGGGTCCCAAATCTTTGCGCCATCCTCTACTGCTTTCCCAGGCCACAAGCAGGGAGCTGGATGGGAAGTGGAGCTTCTGGGATTAGAACCGGCGCCCATATGGGATCCCGGGCCTGTTTAAGGTGAGGACTTTAGCCGCTAAGCCATCGCACCGCCAGGCCCTTGTTTGTGTTTTAATAGACCTTGCATCATACAGCCATATAGAAGTGTCTCTTCTTTGTTCATACTGACATTGCAAGGAACTTCCTCTTGGATCCATTATTGTTGGACTCCATTAGTTTTAGTATGCTGTGTTCCCATTTTCATTTCTTTCACGGCTTAACAATGTTTTCCTTTCAGTTTCTTCAGTGAGATAGATGCTGGTTCTTCTAGAGTGCATTTTTGCATTTTTGGATTATTTATTTATTTGTCTTTATTTGAAGGACATAAATTTAACGCAGCAGTCATCAGAAAGCTAGTACAGACTGAGTCGGTTCCCATTGGGAAAAGTCAGGCACCATATTGTTTGTGTGGTCCTTTAACATCCTCAGGTAGTCAGCACTGATCTACACAGCCCTGTACCTCCTCATGGAGTCAACCCTTGTCTGCATATCCCTGTCTCTCGTACAGTGACTCATACTGGCCGTGGCTCAGGCAGCATTCAAGATGTGTTGATTCCCATAGTGACAGATCTCTGCCCACAGTGTCTTCTAGGGTCATTTCTTCATGTATCTGCAGACTTCCATTCAAACACTGAATAGCATCTCTAGGTAACCATCAGTGATTTCTTGCTCTGTAACATAACAAACCATGCCAGAATGTACAGGCTCAGATCATCTTCGTTGAATTTTCTTCATCGTATCTGTCAAATCCTGTATAAGTACCCCTAGCCTGTCCAATATCTTCATCCCCAGCAGGATCGCTCTGCCTCAGCTCCCTGCCACTCTCACTCACATGGAGAAAGAGTCTCCTGTCCGGCCTCTTCCTCCAATCCTGCTCTCCTCACACCCATCCTCCGCACTTCAGCTGAATGAGTCTTTCAAATATGCAACCCAGGCCGGATGATTTTCCTCGTTAGAATTCAGGTCCCTCTTGTGGCCTCCCCATCAGGTCACCATTGCTTGGCTAGGTACTGAAGGGGGCCTGCCTTGCAATCAGATTCCATCTCCTGCTTCTCAGCCCACACACAACAATCCCGTCCTGCCCAAATTCCTTGACCCGTTTTAGTGCCTAGCTCTCTCTCTCTTACACTTCAGTCTTTGCATATGCTTCAAAAATAGTTCAGGGTATCTTCTCAGATTGAAAATATACCTGCCTTAGATCTTGCAGAGACCAGTAGAAAGGTGTGCTGTGTTCATTCCGTAGAAAAGAATGATACAGCAGCACTGTTCGTAAAAGCCAAGCATAGCCCAAATGGATAGAAATGTGTTTATTTTGTATGGTGTATACTATAGAGCAGTGAAGATGGCTATACAAAATGAGTATAATGCCTTTTATAACTATGTTGAGTAATATATATGAGTAAAAGAGACAGAAAGTGTGTGTGTGTGTGTGTGTGTGTGTGTGTGTGTGTGTGTGTGTGAAAGAGAGAAATGACAGAGAGAGGGAGAGAGAGAGAGAGAGAGAGAATTCTTCTGGGAGAATCAGAATATTAAGAGAGTATGATTCCAGCCTCTCGGGTGTTCTGATGATGCTCTTTGCTGCCGCTCGAGACTAAGGGAGAGTTTTGCTCCTTTGTGCAGTCATCCACAGCAAGGAAGCTGAAGCGCTCACCTATGAAGACCCGCCCCCAGAAGCCTCCACTTCAACCGCGGGAGGTGAGCCTGGTAAGGAAGGGCCGGCAAGGCTTGGGCGGCGGGAGTCAGAATGCAGAGTCATGTTTCCCTAAGTGTTGGATTCTGGGTCTATTGTCTACGATGGTTCCAGCTTATCCTAGGAATCCCATCATCTGCATTCATGCTACTCGACTCTTTTAGGAAATGCAGGGGGTGAAAATTGCAATAATTTATTCTTGAGGATTGGACCATGCTTTGGATGTATGTAGGGATAGGATAGCAAAATGATGCATCTGTCTTTAAGGTTCATTTCTATGTCTACAAGGTTTTGGATATATGCAGTGGTGTCTATGGAGGACAGAAAGCTAATATTCCCTGTGGGAAGGTCACATTGTCACCTGATCCAAAGCTTTGAACAGTGGCAGAAGAGAACTCACCAGCCAGCGGGTGGGAGCAGCAGTAGACAGCTCACGCTCTCTGGACCCCAAGTTTTGTTTTTGACGGTTCTCCCGTGAGTCATGGCGTATACAGTGATTTGTCAAGAGATTTGCATAAATAATAGTTCCTTTTTCTCTTTACACCAATTTTGGATGATAAGAGGCACGGACATTATCATCTTTATTTCCAAATGATGAAACCCAATCACGTAAGTGTCAGGCGGTCTTCCCTCACAATTGCATAAGGGAGTAAAGACAAGGCTAGCGTCTTGGATTCTGTGTTTATTTGCTTTGCAAAACGAGCAACAGAAACACTTGTCAGAATGTTGAGTTATCTCAGTCCTGTCTACAGCATGCGTTGGTGCCAGTTTTGTAATTTCTTAGATATTTTTGTGCTATGTACATATAGCAAATACATATATATGTATGTATGTATGTGTATATATATATGTATGTATGTATATAGGATTCTAGAAGCACACCTTAAAACACACTAGGGAGAGACCTAAAAACTAATGCAAATGTTACCTGGTCTGAGGTTGCAGAAGAATGGCATTTTAATGAATGCCCTCGGAGGCTGTGAACTCTGAGGTCACTCATTTCCTATTGGATTTCCCACACGGGTTGGGATTTTCCCACACGCCTATTGGATTTTCCCCACTTGCCTGAGATTCAGAGAAATGGAGGTCGTGAGTATTGACACCAGAGAGACTATTTTCAATAAAGAGAGGCAGGCAAGGGGCTAGGCGTCAAGTAACTGGGACAACAACCAGGAATCCGTGAGTGTGGAGAAAAAAGCAGCAGCAAGACGAACAGGTGTAGGGAGACACGGGTGCCAGGACAGGAGAATGGGACAGTCGGGTGTAGAACCCAGTAGAAAGCTAACATAGGAGTGAGAGGCAAGTGTGAGTGTGGGGACAGACATGGAGTGAGGGTGGAGGTGGAAGATTCTGGTGGGCTTGGTGAAGCTGCCCACTCTGCGTCACTTTGGTTAGCTTTCGGCTTAGGGCCTGCAAGCACCTGCCAGTCCCACACATTCAAGGCATCAGCCAGGGACTGAGTTCCCTCAGCCTCTCGGGTGTTCTGATGATGCTCTTTGCTGCCACTCGAGACTAAGGGAGAGTTTTGCTCCTTTGTGCAGTCATCCACAGCGAAGAATCTGAAGCGCTCACCTATGAAGACCAGCCCCCAGAAGCCTCCACTTCAACCGCGGGAGGTGAGCCTGGTAAGGAAGGGCCGGCAAGGCTTGGGCGGCGGGAGTCAGAATGCAGAGTCATGTTCCCCTAAGTGTTGGATTCTGGGTCTATTGTCTACGATGGTTCCAGCTTATCCTAGGAATCCCATCATCTGCATTCATGCTACTCGACTCTTTTAGGAAATGCAGGGGGTGAAAATTGCAATAATTTATTCTTGAGGATTGGACCATGCTTTGGATGTATGAAGGGATAGGATAGCAAAATGATGCATTTGTCTTTAAGGTTCATTTCTATGTCTACAAGGTTTTGGATATATGCAGTGGTGTCTATGGAGGACAGAAAGCTAATATTCCCTGTGGGAAGGTCACATTGTCACCTGATCCAAAGCTTTGAACAGTGGCAGAAGAGAACTCACCAGCCAGCGGGTGGGAGCAGCAGTAGACAGCTCACACTCTCTGGACCCCAAGTTTTGTTTTTGACGGTTCTCCCGTGAGTCATGGCGTATACAGTGATTTGTCAAGAGATTTGCATAAATAATAGTTCCTTTTTCTCTTTGCACCAATTTTGGATGATAAGAGGCACGGACATTATCATCTTTATTTCCAAATGATGAAACCCAATCACGTAAGTGTCAGGCGGTCTTCCCTCACAATTGCATAAGGGAGTAAAGACAAGGCTAGCGTCTTGGATTCTGTGTTTATTTGCTTTGCAAAACGAGCAACAGAAACACTTGTCAGAATGTTGAGTTATCTCAGTCCTGTCTACAGCATGCGTTGGTGCCAGTTTTGTAATTTCTTAGATATTTTTGTGCTATGTACATATAGCACATGCATATATATATGTATGTATGTATAGGATTTTATTTTGGTTTTTTTTAATGTATTTTATTAGTTGCATTGCTTATGTTATAAAGTGTTATGAGCAGTGGGAACCTCCCCCCATCTCTGAACCTTTTCCCCATTGTTGAGTTCTCCACCTTGCTGCCTTAGCACAGTCCAAATTAAGTTGAGGTCTTTTTGTTGTAAGTATTTACCAAGCCAAAGTCCAGTGTCTTATTTTCCTCGTGGGTTCAAAGAGTTCTTGGTGAGACCATCTCTGGTCTGAAAGTAAACCAGCAAAGCATCATCCCTCTCATTTGAAGGTCCCGACATAACTTCAACAGCCATTTGCAACACTATGGCATTAATTGATAAGGTGTGGATTAATAGCATATTGATATAAAATGCAGTTTCTTAACTACATCCTGTGACTTCTTTATAGACATTTCAATTTTGGTTTGTATTCATCCTGATTCCATATGGTTATCGGTTTAGGTACAGTACATTTTTTTAGGATGGGTGTGCAGAGAAATCCCCAATACCCTAGTGAGGCGTAACTAATCTTTGTGTCCCACCTAGTGAGGCATGTTTGGTTCCACGCTGGCCGTTGCCCGTCTGATTCTAAGCTTTCCATTTTGTTGTCTCTCCATTCTAGATTTTTTTGTTTGTTTATATATTTGTTTGTTTCGAGGTGTTACTGGAGCGATCCTAATGGTCACCGCGTGAGAGGGTAGGGTCACAGAGCCAGAGCCAGGCTAGGACCAGAGAGAGCTCACCTCTCTAGTCCCGAAGGAAGTTTATTATTCTTCTGTTTCTGCAGATCGCTCAGGGCTCCTGGGCATCGTTCCCATGGTGCTGGTTTCTGCACTGCAGAGTTTGGACTTCTTCCATCCCCTGTGGAGGCTCCAAATGGGGGTGGGTGACCTCAGAGTTCTCAGCCTGCAAAGGCACTCCTATTCCCCGTGGTCTCCTTAGCGGTTGGGATGTAGTCCTTGGTGTCCGTGTTGATGGTCCTTGGTGGGTATCTGGGAGTCTTCAGGGTTGGGATGCGAGCCTCTTCCTGACCTCCCGCTCCACTCTGCAGTCTCACCGTGCTCCATATGCATGACCTCCTGTTAAGAGGCTTACAGGGTCGCTCCCGATTCCCCCCTTATGCCTGTGTAGCTTTACATTGTCTAGTGCTGACTCAAGTTTGTTGTCTATGGGTTATCAGATTTGATCCTGATAGGCTATATTTCACGTCTTCCTCTCACTTTTTAGGGAGATGGAAGATTTCTCTGCATTCCCTCCCCATTACGGAGTAACATAGGGTATTAAGAGTGTTTTAGGTTTTACAGTTCTTTGATGTAGATCATAAGCATTCTGACTCACATTAATTGTTGTATTATAGGTTACAACGCATTGTCTCATTGCATTGGATACATGTTTTCAGAGGTTGCAATAATGTTACAATGTATAGGTATTATTTTCCAGATTAACAACTTTTCATCTCAGATTAAGGCAAACATGTGGTATTTAACCTTTTGGGATTGGTTCATTTCTCTTAGCATAATGGATTCCAATTGGGCCCATTTGGCCACAAAGAACTGCATTTCATTTTTCTTTTTTTTGATAGCTGAGTAGTATTCCATGGAGTATATGAACCATAGCTTTCTTATCCAGACCTCTGTTGATGGGCATTTTGGTTGCTTCCAGGTTTTTGCAATTACTGATTGTGCTGCTATAAACATAGGGGTGCATGTTGGTTTCTCGTAAAACAGGTGTTTTGGATATATTCCTAGGAGTGCTATTAGCAGAGTCATATGATATGCTGATTTTCAATTGATTTAGTATCTTCCATACTGATTTCCTTAGAAGCTGTACAAGTTTGCAGTCCCACCAACAGTGGAGTAGGGTTCCCTTTTCCTCACATCCTCACCAGCAAGTGTTGTTGGTAGTTTCTGTGTGCCATCCTTTCTGGCATTAGTTGGTACCTCATTGTTGTCTTCATCTGGATTTCCCTTATTGCCAGGGAACTTGAGCATTTTTTCATATGTTTGTTTGCCATTTGGGTTTGTTCTTTTGTTGACGCGTCTGCCCATTTCCTGTGCCCATTTCTTGAGTGGTTTGTTTGTTTCGGTGTTTTGGTTGTTCTGGAGATCTTTGTATATTCTGGAGATTAGCCCCCTATACCTATGTAGTGTGCAAAGATCTTCTCCCATTCTGTGGGTTGCTTTTTTACTTTGTCGATGGTTTCCCCTGCTGTACAGAAGCTTCTTAGTTTGATGAAGTCCCATTTGTTTATTTTGGTCTTGATGGCTATTGCCTTTGGAGTCCTTTTTAGGAAGTCAGGGCCTACACCTAGATCTTGTAGTGTGTTTCCTACATTTTCTTCCAAAAGTTTGAAGCTTTCTGGGTGTAGGTTTAAGTCTTTTATCCATTTAGATTTGATCTTAGTGTATAGTGAGATATATAGTGTATAGTGTATGCCCTATCATCTTGTTTCTACAGGCTATCATCCAGTTGTCCCAACAGCATTTGTTGAATAGAACTTCCCATTTGTTTGGGTTGTCGTCTGTCTTTTTGTCGAAGATTAATTGGCTGTATCTATGTGGTTTTCCTTCTGTTGTTTCTATTCTGTTCCATTGATCCTCTTTTCTAGCTTTGTGCCAGTACCAGGCTGTTTTGATAACCACTGCCATATAGTATGTCCAGAGGTCCAGAATTGTGATTCCCCCTGATAAGTTCCTATTCTCCAGAATGGTTCTAGCTATTCGTGATTTTTTGTGTTTCCAGATGAACCTATGTATCATTTTTTTTAATTCATTGAAGAATGTTTTGGGTTGCTTGATTGGGATTGTATTGAAAGTATATATTGTTTTTGGTAGTATAAACATTTTAAGGATATAAATTTTGCCTATCCAGGAGCATGGGATGTTGCTCCATCTTTTGAGGTCTTGTTCAATTTGTTTTTTAAGTGTTTTGTAATTTTCTTCAAAAAGGTCTCCTACGCTTTTGGTTAAATTTATTCCTAGATACTTCATGCTTTTCTCTGTTATTTTGAATGGTAACTTGCTGGTTAGATCTTTTTCCATCTTGGGGCTGTTTGCGTACACTATGGCTGTTGATTTTTGTTCATTCATTTTGTACCCTGCCACTCTACCAAACTCTCATATAAGTTCTAGCAGTCTCTGTATTGAGTCTCTTGGTTCTTCTATGTAAAGGATCATGTCATCTGCGAATAGTGAAAGCTTGACTTCTTCATTTCCCATTTGGATTCCTTTGATTTCTTTGTCTTGTCTTATGGCCTCTGCAAGCACTTCTAGGACTATGTTGAATAGCAGTGGGGATAACGGACATCCTTGTCTTGTTCCGCATCTCAGTGGAAAGGGATCCGATTTTTCTCCATTCAGTATTATGCTGGCGTTGGGTTTTCGTATATTGCTTTGATTATGTTGTGGATTGTTCCTTCTATGCCAACCCTGGTTAGGGATTTTAACATAAAGTGATGTTGGATTTTGTCGAGGGCTTTTTCTGCATCTATTAATACTATTACATGGATTTGTTCTTCAGTTTTTGGATGTGGTGTATCACGTTTATGGATTTCCGTATGTTGAACCATCCCTGCATTCCCTGGATGAATCCTGTTTGGTCTGGGTGTATGATCTGTCTGATGTTTTTTTTGAATTCTGTTGGCTAGGATTTTATTGAGAATCTTGGCGTCAATGTTCATCAGGGAGAGTGGTCTGTAGTTCTCCTTCTCTGTTAATTCTCTATCCGGTTTTGGGATTAAAGTGATATTGGCTTCATAGAATGAGTTTGGAAGGGTTGCTTCCTTTTCTGTTGTTTTGAAAAACTTGTGGAGGATTGGGATTAGCTCTGCTTGGAATGTTTTGTAGAATTCTGCGGTAAAGCCATCTGGGCCTGGGCTTTTCTTTGTTGGGAGATCCTTAATCACTGATTCAATCTCTGCTTCAGTTATGGGTTTATTCAGGTCTTCTGTTGCTTCTGAGGTGAGTTTTGGTAAGTGGTGGGAGTCTAGGAACCTTTCCATTTCCAAATGGTTACCTGATTTTTTGGAGTACAGTTCTTTGTAATAATTTCTGATTATTTTCTTAATGGTTGCAGTGTCTGTTGTTATGTTGCCTTTGTCATCTTTGATGCTGCTAATTCTTGCTTTCTCTTGCTTTCTCTTTGTTAATCGGGCCAGTGGGGTGTCTATT